CCATCTGGTCCAGGAGTTTTGTTTTTAGGTAGTTTTTTGATTTCCATTTCAATTTTCTTGCTGGTAATTGGTCTGTTCAGATTTTCTGTTTCTTTTTGCTTTAGCCTTGGAAGGTTATATTTTTCTAGAAAGTTGTCCATTTCTTCTAGGTTATCCAGTTTGTTAGCATATAATTTTAATAGTACTCTCTCATAATTCTTTGTATTTCTGTTTTGTCTATAGTGATTTTTCCTTTCCATTTCTGATTCTGTTTATGTGTGTAGACTTTTTTTTTTCTTGGTAAGTCCAGCTAGGGGTTTATCTATTTTGTTTATTTTCTCAAAGAACCAGCTCTTTCTTTCACTGATTCTTTCTATTGTTTTATTCTTGATTTTATTTATTTCTGCTCTAATCTTTATTTTGTCCCTGCTTCTGCTGACTCTGGGCCTCCTTGTTCTTTTTCTAATTTTGTTAATTGTGAGTTTAGACCATTCATGTGGGATTGTTCTTCTTTCCTGAGGTAGGCCTGTATTGCAATATACTTCCCTCTTAGCATGGCCTTCGCTGTTTCCCATGGATTTTGTGGTGTTGTATTATTGTTGTCATTTGTCTCCATATATTGCTTGATCTCTGTTTTTTTTGGTCATTGATTCATTGGTGATTTAGGATCATGTTGTGAAGCTTCCTTGTGTTTGTGGGGATCTTTGCCATTTTAATTATTATATGTCTTGGTGTTGTCTTCCTTAGGTCCCTTGTGTTGGGAGATCTGTGCACCTCCATGGCCTGAGAGACTGTTTCCTGGGAAGTTTACAGCAATTACATCCTCAAAGAAACTTTCATTCCTTTTTCTCTCTCTTCTTCTTATATATATAACCCTATAATGTGAATATTCTTCCATTTGGATTGGTCACAGAGTTCTCTCAATATTCTTTCATTTTTAGAGATCCTTTTTTCTCTCTGTTCTTCAGCTTCTTTGTATTCCTCTTCTCTAATTTCTGTTCCATTTACCATGTCTTCTACTACATCTAATCTGCTTTTAAATCACTCCATTGTATGTTTCATTTCAGATACGGAATTTCTTAATGATTGAATTTCCATCCTAAATTCATCCCTGTGTTCTTGAATATTTTTCTGTACCTCCATGAGCATGTTTATGATTTTTATTTTGAACTCTCTTTCAGGAAGATTGGTGAGTTCAGTTTCATTTGAGCCTTTTCCTGGTGTTTGTGAGATTTTGGTCTGAACCTGGTTCCTTTGATGTTTCATATTTGTATGTGGCACGCTCTAGTGCCCGGAAGCTCTAGTCTGTGGAACTGCTTAGCCTGTGGAGTGATGTTACGGGTCGGAGGGAAGCGGCGATGGTGCCTTGGGGGAGGAAAAGGCTGTTTCCTGCTTCCTGGCTGCAGTTCCTCTTTCCACTGTCAGAACCAGTGGGCCGAGCACACTGGTATAAGCCTCTGTGCTTTGCATTTGTAGCTGCCGTATGTGGGCCTCCCTCTGGCTGACCTGACATCAGGGCAGGGACTGCTGGTTTGCGAGCTGGTGCCAGTAGGCCAGGAGGAAGGCACAGCATGCTGTGTATCACAGGGGAGCTGAGTAGCCAGCCAGGGGGATGGAGTGCCTGAAGCTCCTGAAATTTCCCAACCTGCTAGGCATAGCATGCCCAGACAACCCTGTCCACCTATCTCTTCTCCTGTGCAGGAAGCTCCATGCAATCCCCGCCCCTTCAGCAGCCCTCTTGCTGCTAGGAAGCCTCTCAGGCCACCCACCTTTCCTTTGTCCCAGAGCAGCTGGATGTGGATGCTTGTCCTCCACAAATGGCTGGAATCTCAGTCTCTACAATTATTCCTCCTGTCTTAGCTTTCCAACCCCACTAATCACCAGAGCACCATGCAATGTAGGTTTGTGCTCCCAAAGCAGATCTCCAGGGCTGGGTGTTCAGCAGTCCTAGGCTTCCACCCCCTCCCGGATCTGTTTCTCTTCCTCACTGTGGTGAGCTGGGGTGGGGGAAAGGCTTGGGTCCTGCCGGATCAAGGCTTTGGTGCTTTACCCTGTTTCGTGAGGTCTGCTTTTTTCTCCATGTGTATGGAGTCTGGTGCAGCCTTCTTTCCTGTTGCTCTTTTAGGAGTAGTTGTATTAACTGTATTTTTGTATTATATGCGGTTTTGGGAGGAGTTCTCTGTCTCGCCTCTCATGCCACCATCTTTAATCTGACAATTAAACATTTTAAAAGCAGCATTCTCAAAAGGTTTTAAATTACAATTCTAGATAAATTGTCTTACTGATTCCTAGAGTTACTCTCTAAGTCCATTAAATTGGTGATTAGTGCTTATATATTTGGAGAGAATTCTGGAAACCCTTCCCTACCTCACTCCACTCCCTGTTGTTAAATAGGGCTTTAAATTTTCAGAATGACTATCAGCATTCCTGAGCTATGATGTTTTAGATTAAAAAAATACTTTAAAAATTAAGATTATATTTAAATAAGTTGAATATATTCTAAATTCCTTAGAATTCAGACTATATTACACTCAAAATGTCTGTAAACTACTGTTGCCAAATCTGTCTACATTTCATTGTTGTATCCATTTTATCTGGGGGACCTGAACCAATCCTGAATAGTAATCTCAGTCACACACTCTTGTTGTGACTCTGAGAATTCAGTTTACTTCTGGTGATTGTGATTTCTGTTCACTGTAATGGTAATTAGCATCTACACTTGCCTCTGGGGACTCTAAGTGTATTAACTGTTCTTTTCAAATGCCTTGAAGTAATTATCAATACTCTATAATATGTGGTGAAACTTTGTCCCTAAATTTCCTTCCTTTTTAGTATTTTCCTATTTTAATTTTAAGAAAAAAAATGTGTAATCTCTAAGTTTCTCTCATTAAGACTGAAATTTGGGAAGCTCAAGAGTCAGAAAGGTACCAGGTTTCCCCAGCAGTTCCAGCCGTGGTTCCCATCATAGCCTCCCTGCCAGGGCTCCTCTGATGGCCAGGAGCTGTGTGATGTGGGGTAGAACCAGACCGCAGAGCTCAGAGGGCCACAGCAGCCCTTACTCCACACATTATAGGGATGCATATTTTTGCCTACCAGGCAATCTTAGACCCATTCCTTTTCCTTTAGACATCATGATTTCACTTAAACCAAACACCATAAACTGAGTCTAGGTCCTACCAGTTTTAATCTGAATTAAGCCCAGAATCTATGGCATCATGAAATTAGTTTCAGGATGCAAAGAATAGTCTGTGTTGGCTACCTGCATGAGAAGTAATGTACTACTGAATAAGTACACTGAAATTGGCAAGATGATCTGACTCACCTTTGGAGCTGTTGGTGACCCAACCAGAAATTTTCCATAGAGTTATGGAAAATGTTTTGAAATACATGCTGGGGATAGAATGATTTGCTTTTAACACTAAAATGCCGCTTTTGTAAAAATCACATTCCCGTTTGTGGGTGCCTTCTGTCATATGTCTGCCTTGCTTGGATTTCACTGGTTAAGCACAATTAGTGCAGTAAAACTTCCTTTCTTAGATGTTTCCCCATCTGTTAATCCTTGACCAGCATCTCTTTCCAGTGAAACCCAATCTATGTGTAACTATTTTAATTCTTGAGAAAATAACAGTGGTAGTTTGATTCCTCCAAATCCATTGGGAAAAGATTGCATAATATGAATAGATATAATGTGATTTGCTGATATCTTAAGAAGTCTTCTCTTAAGAGTATCTTTATCTTCATAAATTTAAGAGTAGAATGTTTTTAATTTTACTGAACACATTTGATATTATTGTATTCCTATGTATCTGAGGACATCAGGATAACTTCAGAGGATATAAGCAAGACAGAATCTACTTTAGAATCATCTTTCAGTTGCTCTGTGGTTTGCAGATGCTTAGATATGAGTCTAGAATAAAAGGCAATATTATAGCAATGTATGTCATAAAATATATTTTAAATATTTTGCCTAATTTGGAAATAAAACTGCACTTATTAAGTATATCACAAATATTTTCAATCCTCATTTAATTTAGACACAAAACCACAACTTTTTTATCATACTGACATATCAGTGATAATTAATGATAAACACCATTAATTTTAAGATGTGGTCATTTCTAATTCAGAAATTCAGTGTATCAGAAAACTGCTTCCTGACAGTAGTAGACATCCTGAAGTCAACTCAGAATATTGAACATCTTATTTTTGCATATTATTGCTAATATAAGAAGCAATAATAAGAAGAGTTCTGCTTCTTATATGGTGACTGCCAAGTAGACAGAACATGGAGACCTGTGCCCCTGCCCCCATATGTGGTGGTGATGAAGAAATTTACCTAATAATAACCATCTTTGGGGATGGACTTTTATTCTAACTGCACATCTTGCCTCCTCTAGACTTTTGGTTTATGTGTAGTTGCATAAACATGAAATTTAATGTACTTTTTGACACATACAGAGACATAATTAGAACTACATTTTCCAGAGTTTATCAATAATCCTAGAACAGAAATAAATTAGGTGTATGTGTTACCTTTCAGAGAGAGATACTTTGTATCCATTCAGTCTTCATAGACCAGGGTGAAAAACGCATTAAGAGAATGGTAAGGAGAGGTGGGGATCAAACTTGAAAGTTTGTATTTTCTCCTTTAGGAAAGTTTAAGTCCAAAGTGTCCCAAGTGAAAAGCCATTGGTGAGCACGTGGTACCACTTGCATATTAAAACTATTTGAATGCCAGAGTGATGTGTAAATTACATAACATGCTGTTCCTCAATAGCGAGATTGTGGGTGGAGGATTTCCTTGCCCTATTTGCATAAACCACGTTTGGATCTGCTACTTTTCTTTTGTGATGGATTAAAAAATACTTTGATGGTGGAATGGGTTTCACCTGGTTGAAATAAGGGGTTATTCTTGCCATTTGCAGTAATAAAAAATGTGTGCTTCTTTCTAGCTGTTCTTCTGTGTATTTTTTAATTGTATGCACTGTCTCTTTCTGTTCTAATGGCTGCCCTTGGAATAGGCTGACCTCTGCTCTCCGTATGACATCCTGCAGTTGGATTTTCGTCACATTCGAAAGACTGTTGACACTCTGCTGGCACACGGGGAGAAACCCCCACAACCAACTTCTACCCTCCGCTCCAGGGACCTTATAAGCTTTTGTCTTGTCCATATTCTCTTTATAGTGCTGATCTATATCACTTACCGCTGCAATGTTCTGCCCGCATAATGTCTGCATGTGTGTCCAAACACGCCGCTGTGTCACCCTGATCCATTCCAGGGTCCTTCCTTCATCTGAGCCTTGCCTTGCAAACTGCCATCCCTGTCATCTCTTTAGTAATCTCTTGAGTTTTGAAGCTGAACTTTTACAAATCACATTTTACAAAAGCAGACACTTTATAGAATGCAGTTCCTGTTGAATAATTTCTCTCACTTACTGAAAAGCAGTGCAGTAAAGCGTATCTATAACTCATGCTTCCTCATTCACATGGTGCCGGCAGCAGTGTTATGCAGTTCCTCTTCTCTCTCTCCCAGCGAGCTTAACTGCCCTGGGTAGAGTGCAAGAAGGTTCTAGAACAGGAGCAGAGGGGATTTAGCACATGGAAATCTTTCCTTTAAGTCAGTATTTAAGTCGAATCCTAATTCAGGACTGGGCAATTGAGCTGTACAGGGGCTGCCTTGCAGAGGAGACAGAAAACCAACATTTTTGGCTCAATTTGCTCCATAAAAATCTTAATATCACTATTGACCAAGTTGAAAAGTACCATTGGAGAATGACTGCTTTGCTGGCCATTCAGTTGGATTACACCGTTTCCTTCAATGCGAGTTGTGAAGGAGCCGCAGGGCTGGTTGCGGCCCACTTCCACCCTGAACAAGCGAGCCCCTCTGCCGGCCTGCTTGAGGCAAAGCTATGCAGGAGGGTCCTACTGCCCTTAGAGCGCCACCTGAAGGATTTCACTTGCACACCACTTTATGTATATTTTTACAGCCTACTTGTTAGGTCTCTTCTGAGGCACTTAGAAAAGCATTTTCCAGAAGGGGTTTCTGTTTTTAAATAACGTAATAGGTTGTTTTGCTTCTGTGCCACATCACATCATAACTTCAGGTTCAGATTGTGATGGATTTGACTGTATTCGCTTTCGAATAAAGCCATGAGTCATGGGACATTCTTGGTCCTGGGGCTTGGGTCACTATGGCAGAAGCCAGTAATAAGATTGCGCTTATTTTAGAAGAATGTAGTTTCTCTAATGACTTGAAATTTCCATTTAACCTTTGATTTCCAGTTTTCAGTTTTAAGATTAATGGTTTATGTATTAACTGTCCACTTCTGAAGCAAAAGTGATCAGTTTGTAATTAAAAGAAAAAACCATTAGAATATTATACATGCTGAGATATTTTTAAAAGATGTTTTTTTCTAGTAGAGAAGGCCCTGCATCAACATTAAGGCAGTCTCCCCTAAGGTCAGTTTACATTTGCTTGCCAGGTAATATTTCTTAAATTGGAGAGATGATGGAGTTAACTTCATGATAAATTTCTAGTTTGCTGAGATGCAAACAGTCTTCATAGACACTATGAAGAAGATAATTTTATTTTTCTGAACATGTCCAGAGGGCCTGAGAATATGGAAAAGCTTAGATAGTTAGAAGAGTATATTTATAATGATTCTTTGTTGCTAAAACAGATCAGCTATTCTAGCAGGAAACATTCTTTACATGATAATATCTTGAGTTAACTGAGCTTTTTCCTCCTGATTTCATGGTGATTGGTGAAATACAGAGTATGAGTAAGTTATTAATTAAACCAAGTTGTATTAAGTAACCTGCAGAATGTACAGAACTGCCTTGGGTGCTATCTTGTATTCATCAGTCTGTAACACAATAAAATCCCTTTGTATGATGTCTCACAAGCAGCCTGAGCCAGAAGTTGCTTAGTAATGCATTTTGGGTGTCCAAGTCTTTGTCAGCCCGCTGTTAGGGTGATCTGTGCGTGCCCTGATTGGCTCTCAGCGGTTCTACCTGGCTCTGCGGTGCAGTGGGGCTTCCCTTTAATAATCACCACTGGGTTTTTCCTCTTCTGTATGGATACCAAAAGGGAAGAAGTGAGGGGACTTACTGGTGGCCACCTGAAAGAACATTCTGTCAATAAAAACTGAGTAGAACAGTTAGATGAGATCAGATGTAATTTTCAGTGCTGACTTGGCTTGTTCTCCAGCTGCATTCATGTCTCAGTTCTTTGCACGCCCTTTGGTTACTCCTGTCGTTAGTGTTTCTGTGTACTAATGTGCTGCTCCTCTCGGAGTCTGTTGGATGGTATTTTCTCATCAAGGAGCATGGTAACTGGCGAAGAACAATTAATTTAGTCCTTTTGGCAACACTTTGAATGTTTTGCCCATTGTCAAGCTGTTCATTTCTTTCCAGAATATTAAGCCCTTCCATGTTTTTTTCCCAAGGCACCCACACATCAGCTCATATGCTAGTTTGCTGCCTGTCATTGCAGCGTGACTGGGGAGACCTGGCTGGCCTACTTGTCCTCTGAGAAGTGGTCAGGAAGTTAGTTGTGTGATTTATGTGTGCATACTAAATCTCCTTCCTCTCAAAAAAAAGGACAGTTTTTCAGTACTCTCTTCCAGTGTCTGATAAAAAGAATCACTTACTCATTTACATTTTCTTTTTGGTATAGATAGATCTATATGAAATAGAAGGTTCTCTTTCTCGAGTTTCTCCAATTGGTGGCAACTCTCCAGTGTCAGGATTTCCACAATGTGTGACAATTAATTTCTATTAATTCCTTCTATTTATGGATTTGTGGTTCTATGTGGCTCACTGTTCTAGTGAAAGACATTCGTGAAATGGGGCTGATGGAAAGGGGCTTTCAGAACTCAGAAGATAACTGAGTAGGAATTTCATCCTTGAGAGTAGATAGATAAATCCTGCTGCCATTTATGTGAGTAAGAAATTAAATTTAGCACATGGTGCCTAGTGTTATCTCTCTAAAATCCATGCTGGTTCCTGTCACAAGGACAGAAGTCGTAAGACTAAGGGCATATTACCTGGACAGTAAAAGAGACAGACAACAGATTAAAACTTCAGGAACCTGAAAGTAATTTTGGATTAGTTGAAAAATATTTTAATTAATTTTATTTCAGGAGATTTTGTTTTTAAAAGGAGGCTGCAGATTTTAAAATTAGTTCACAATAAATAATCAGTTAAGTATATAGAATGTGTACTTTTTTTTTCTTCTTTAAGACTGTCAGGGTCCGGTTCCTTAGCTTTCACTGCGATTTTGTTCCTGCTTGTGTTCCTTCATTCATGCTTCAAATACTGAATGAGCAATCTTTGTGCAAAGCTCTGTGGTAGGCCTTGGGGATAAAAAGGTGACCATGACACATGACCCTGTCCTCAAAAAACTTATAATCTAGACAACTTTTTCTGTGAAGTGCCAGATAGTAAATATGTTAGGCCTTGTGGGCCATACCATCTCTGTTACGACTACTCAATTACTGTTGTGGTGTAAAAGCAGCCATAGAGGATTTGTAAATAAATGGGTGTGGCTGTGTTACAATAAAACTTTATTTACAAAAGCAGGCTCTGGGCTGGACTAACCTGCAGGCTGTTAGTGTTTGGACCCTTAACTAGTAGATCCAGTGAACAAATAAGGAATTGAATATGATAAGGATGTGTGGTAGATTGGGTACAAGATTTCTGTAAAACCTGTGGAAAGAAGACCTTCCCTGATAACAATGGGTATCTGTGAGGCCTTCTTGGAACTGTGATATTCGCACTGAGACCTAAAATATGTGTAGGAATAGTCAGACGGATGGGGTGTGGGTTAAGGAGGTGAGAGGAGGGCATATGGTGTGGAGAATGAAGTGTTAAGGCCTAGAAGGTAGCATGGCTGGAAAGCAGAGTATCAAATGGGAGAGGGACAAGAGATCCTCTCAGTCCGTAAAAGTGTGACATGGTCTCCACTTTATATTAGAATAAACTGGTTCTTGGAGAGCTCATGTGGCAGATCAGGAACTTGAAGCTCTTTTATGTTAAAAAATGCTGACCATTTTGTTTTAAGGTTCAATCCATTTAGTGGGAGGAATTTACATTTTAGAAACAGTTTGAACAATATGAATAACATGCTAACATAAATGACTTCATTTCAGTCTAGCAGCTGCCCTGGAGGTAGGCATGGGGCTGTTTAAGAGCATAAGAAACTATAGAAAGAGGATAGCTAGCCAGAGGCTGCTATCCGCCTGCTGTCACAGGCATTTTCTTCCAGGACAGGTGTCTGTCCCTCACTGCATGAGAAGCCAACTGAGCTACTGGCAGAGCTAATACCTTTTACTGAATTGAGGGTGCTCTGATCCCCACCTGACACTGAATTCTGTGGGAACTTGCCTCAGTAGGACTCCAAGGGTTTGGGGCCTCTTCCTGCCTCATGGGCACAGACATATACTCTCTTGTTAATCAAGGAATTTGTGGGAAGCAGCATGAAGTCTTGGGAAAAGCCCAAGTTCTAAGACTGAGATATGTTCAGATCCAAGTTCCAGTACTTACCAACTGTGCGGCTTTAACAAAGTTACTTAAACTCTCTATGTCTTAGATTTCTCATCTGTAAAACAGAGATATAATATCTACCTTACAGGGTTGTCATAAAGAAGTAACCAGTGCAGATCTGTAGCATTGGTGATGGGTATTTAGGAGGTGCCCTGGAAGTCTTACCAAGTTAGCATTTAGTCTTTATGGCTTGTTCTCCTTTGCCCTGTTTCCTGTGACTCTGAAGAAGGGTGGGTGAGGGGATGTGAGTGAACCTCATTAATGCCACTATTGGAGAAGCAACACAAAGAATGAGTTCTTCAGAGGGGATCAGAAGTATTATTTTTATGCAAGATACTACTTTATGACTGTTCTGTGCTTTGAAAGGAAACACAACAAAAGAAGCTCATGGCTATACTAGAACAGTCTGTTGCCACATTCTCAAGGATCCTCTAACAGTGAAATTTAAATTCGTTTAAAGTCAGTGTAAATATAGAGTGATTTCTGACAGTAATCAAAATTGTGTTGCCCTGGTACATAAAAGTAGATATAGCCTAATTAAATAGACTAGAAAGCCCAGAAATAACCCCTCATGTACATGGAAATGATCCTCAACAAGGGGATCAGGAACACACACTTGGGGTAGGACAGTTTCTTTCACAAAGGGTTTGGGAGAACTGGAATTCACATGCAAAAGAATAAGTTGAACCCTTATACCATATTCAAAAATTTAATCAAATGGATTGAAGACCTACATGTCAATCTACAAACCATGGAACTTTAACAAAAAGTAGCGGAAGTTTCAAGATATTAGAGTTGGCAATGATTTCCTAGATATGACACTAAAATCACAACTAACAAAAGCCAAAATAGACAAATGATACTAAATCAATGGAAAACTGTGCATGAAAGGACACAAGTGACAGAGTAAAAGGGAAATCTATAGGATGGGAGAAAATATTTTAAAAAGAAGAAAAACATATGTAGGGTAGTTTCTGCTTCTGCTCCTTCTGATGCCAGCTTCTAGCTCACTTCAGGGTTCCCTTCTCTCACCACATGGGATATGCAGTGACAGGACTAGTGCAATGGAGAGTGACCTTCTTGTTGTCCTCGCTGCCCTCCCCATTTCTGGCAGGCTGCCCTTGCTCACCCTGTCAGTCAGTACTTCAGAGCAGTCTTCACCACAGACCTGTGATAAAAGAACAGTCTTCTTTGGTCCCTCCATCCCCATCAGAGTTCTCTAGGTTTCTTCGGGGGGTCTGAGTAAAAGGAGAAGCCGGGAAGGTTGTGCAGAGGACCTTTTTATGTTGGCTCTTTACACCTCGTCACCAACTGTAAGAGTGGAAGGGAGAATCTTGGCCTCTGCACCTGATTTAGGAGTGAGGAGACCGGAAAGGTCAGAAATCGGCTGCTTGGAAAAACAAAGGTCTGGGAGACAAGATTCTCTAAACTAACTCAGTCGGTGACCTCTCCACAAAGTCCTGCTAGCGGGAGGCAGAGGCCTCAGTGCCTAGCGCCCTCCTGTCCCTGTCTCTGTGGAGCCCTCAGCCCTTCCCAACCATGAGCTCTGTCTTCCAACCTCTGTGGACCCTTGGAGCCACCTCTCATCAGTGGGACCAGGGCAGTCATCATGGACTCTTTAAATTCACATCTCAGCAGGACTCAGGATAGGGCGTCTAGTCCCATAAAGCCATGTTGCACCCTGAGATTAGGCCCTGTGGAAATATTGCTACTAGATCAGGAACATTTGGGATGGAACATAAGTAAACACTGAGGTCAAGAAGCAAAATGTCTTGTTTTTAAATTTCTATTTGTATTCTTTGCCCAGTGCTCTCCTACTCTTGATCTACTGTTTTCTCACTGGCTTGTGGAGCTTATGTATCATAACATCCTTTGTAATTTGATGCAAAAATATTTAGTTTGTTGTTTATATTTTAATTAATTTGGGTTTTTTGACATGCAGAAGCTTTAAACGTTAAGGCAATCAATTGTTTCTATCTTTCCCTTTGTAATTTCTTTAATATTACTTTTTTGGCTTAGAAAATTTTTCCTCAACCCTTTACAGAAAATACTAAATATTCATCTATATTTTCTTAGGAGAGGTATTTGGATTTTGTTTTTTTAACAGTTAATTCTTTAATTAATTCAGTTAAATCTTAAACTGATTTTAGCTTATGGTATATAGTGAAGATTTTATTTTTTCCCTAAGTAATGCCTTGCACCAACTTAATCATAATTAGTGACCTTTTATACTTTCCTACCAAGCTGGATGACTTGGATGCTGTGGGAGTCATAAGTGTGAAGACACCGTGTTTCTGCCCCTGTGGAACCAGCGTTAGCAGTAAAACACCTTATTCCGGTGGTTTCACAAGCCTGTGGTAGAGGGGTCAGGAAAGGATGCACCCTGACATCTGGCTGTGGCGTAAGGAGGAAGCACCACCCATCCTGGCCTAGTGCATGGCTCATGACTCACCTTTCTCATGGTGAAGTTGGATGCCAAGTTGGCAAAGCAACATGAACTTACATGCCCACCTAATATGTCATTGAAAAGCTAGTCCCATTCTGATACATGGGAGACACATGAAATAATGGTTAAAATGGTGCTTTACAGAACCAGTTGTCTTCTGCTGGTTAACATGTGGCCATTTCTTAAGGCCTAGAGCCAGAGTCTGAGATATTCTGAATTTACCACAATTGAGGAAGGAGGAGGGATGGGGAGTGATAAGATGGTTGAGAGATTTGTATGAAGACTGATGTTTTTAGGCAGGGGAACAACTCACCGGAGGTGTCAAGGTGTGTCCTTCGAAGATCTTTAAGGGCAGAATGCCTCTGTCTGTGGTAATGTGTGGAGTCCTGCACTGGAGCAGCAGGAAGATCCAGTTCCTTAAGCAGGAGTCACATGAAGGGAAGAACTGTCTGGACTCCACCTGCTTCATGTTAAATACTGTGCCCACCACCTAGGGCACAGTGCAGGTCTTATTTAATCCGTACTTAAAAACAGTGGTCCCTGGGCTGTGGAAAATATACCCACACCATCACCGGGTAGATGAGAGGGAGGGGGTGTTCACTGCAGAGTCTTTTCCCAGCCAAGGAGAAACACTTTGCAAGGAGATTCCCCTCATTCCCAGAGCCAAATGACAAAGGTGTAAAATTACTCCCTTGTGTTCTTTTGTAAACTGGTTGAGCACGAAAGGTTCTCCACACAAGAAGTGATGTGCGTTGATTGTTTTCCTCGAGTCATAGGTGCTGGACATTGCCCAAGAGCAAAAATGCAATATAAGAAAGTAACAGGACCTCTGCTTTAAGAAAGGGTCTTGAAAGAGAGGCTATTGAAGGCTGTGGTTAAAATTACTTATTTATAAGGCTGTTCTTAAACCATGAAGAAAGGATACTAGTCCACCACTTGCCTCTATTCCAGAGATCACAGGGAACAAAATCAAGGTTTTTTTTGTTTTTTTTTTGAGAGGGCATCTCTCATATTTATTGATCATATGGTTGTTAACAACAATAAAATTCTGTATTGGGGTCTCAATGCACAATCATTGATCAACCCCAAGCCTAATTCTCAACAGTCTCCAATCTTCTGAAGCATACTGAACAAGTTTTTACATGGTGAACAAGTTCTGACATAGTGAATAAGTTCTTACATGGTGAACAGTGCAAGGGCACTCATCACATTAACTTTCGGTTTTGATCACGCATCATGAACTATAAACAATCAGGTCAATTATGATTATTCGTTTGATTTTTATACTTGATTTATATGTGAATCCCACATTTATCCCTTATTATTATTATTATTTTTTTTTAATAAAATGCTGAAGTGGTAGGTAGATGCAAGATAAAGGTAGAAAACATAGTTTAGTGCTGTAAGAGGGCAAATGTAGATGATCAGGTGTGTGCCTATAGACTAAATATTAATCCAAGCTAGACAAGGGCAACAAAACATCCAC